TAATCTGAGTCAGTGAATAGGTTATACATAAACATTGGAATTAAAGCATAGCCATCTACCGACAATACTTACCAAAGAAATGTTCAGTACCTGTTACTAAATATTATTTGATGGAAATAAATATTTATTTCCATGTAATAAAACTTTGTTCATATAAAGAAATCAATTATTAAACTGTAACAAATAACATTGATGGGTACAAAATATTTGTTTCTCCCAAATAAATGAATGAAAATTTTGTTACTAAATCAGTTTAGTACTCCGTACTAAATCGTTCTATCAGTGTAGTACATTTTTTATTCACATATAAATTAAATACTCACTTAATTCAAATCTTAGAAGACATTTCATTTCTATTTTTGCATGGCTTATTAAAATTTCATCGCAAGGTGACAATTAATATCGTCTGCCATTCAATGTACTAAAATTAACAACGAACTTTGTTATGGAATAATTAATGATCAAAAATACATTTAATTAAATATATATCAATTCAGAAGATATCTTAGAAGAAAGATGATTTTTTTTTTAATTGAATTAATTCAGTCTTAATTGTAAAATTTGCTGTCAAATTAAAGATGTATTATTTAAATTATTAATAAGCTTTAGTGAGTCAGATAATGATTTATTCACTTAAATTTTTGTGCCATTATAATTTTATTTTCAATCATTATCTCTTTTAAGAAGAAAATAATTTACGGGAAAAATAAATTCAGGTTAATCCATTAAATAAAGTAGGTTAATAAAAAAATTTTTCATAGAACTATTTCGATCGACTTTTCTCGTGAGCAATTTAGTGGAAATTGATACCATAATGGGATTAATAAATTATATTTAACTAGTTGAGAGTGTAATCAATAAGTGATGAAAGGTTAGAAAGTATTTATATACCGAGTAAAAATAAATCATCGGGTAATTATTATTAGATTAATCGGTAGTTTTGTTATTAGATTATCGCGTGATAAAGGGGCAATCTAGAAGGAAATTAAATAAATAAATATGAGAGTATCAAAGCAAAATATTGCTTTAAGATTTTTTATATAAATTGATAATCATATATATTGTATACTTGTGGCTGTATAGACGGTGGAAGTATTATATTATATAGATTGCAAGGATGATGATAGTTGTACGGAGAGTAGAGTAATGTTAAGCATCATCACGGGACTGGAATGTCGATAGTAATGTGCTCGAGGCTGATTATATTACTGCCAGTTTCAAAGTATCAACCAGTGTTGATCGACTGTGAATCTTTTTATATTTTTCTTAACCACAGGCTTTGTAATCTTCGAGAAATCTCTTGCTTTATACTTTTTATATAATGAGATACAGGGAAAAATAAGTTAACTATTTATTTTATGAGTAGCAAGACGCCCTACAAGTTTATTATTATACTTTTAATATAATAATTATCACAATTTTTCTAGAGAGAAAAAAAATTTTTAATGGTTGCAACTATTTATAGAAATTTATTCGTCAGAGGATATACAAATATTTGCGATTCTTGTATCTAAAATTTTATCAGAGTATTTGATATTTTTATTGACTGTAAAGCTTTCAAGCTATTATTTCTATTTAAAACTTTAATTCATAAGTTAAAAATAAAAATAGAGATTTTTAGTTGATGAAATAAAATTTTATTTAACAAAATTCAAAACTATTGAATGATGTTTTTGCACACGAGGTATTTTATTATGAATTTAAAAATAGTTTTAGATTTTATTTAAGCGAATAAAAGTTTAATCTACATTATTAAAAGAATAAGCAAAATTTTATGGCCAGTATATTTATATGATAAAATGGGTTTTTTTGGTTAAATTTGGTATCGTTGGAAAAGTCTTGACCTAGAGTTGTGCTTTTTTATAGTTTCATATCATTCTCACCAATAGTCAATTAATGATGATAAATATTTAGGCTGCATTCAAAAATGCTCTATCTGTAGATATATAATTACGAAATGACCTAGCATCTTGTAAACTATTGACATTTTTAAAGATATAAGCTCACCCCCATGTTACACTCATCGAGACCTTTCATCCCGGGTCAAAAAATTTAATCTGTTATACGATTAATGAAAATTTTTAATATTTTTCATTCTATTTAATTTTATTATGTGTATCTATTTTATATTAGAATTTAATCTGTTTTTGCCCGTACTATTCCCAATTCAGACCAATTTCAGATCATTTTTGATGTTACAATAAAATTGTTTTATATTGTTTCAAGACCAAAATCAGACTTTTTTGTCACAATCATTTAGCTGGTTTTGATTGCATCAAGGTCAAAAACAGACCAAAACGTTCCATAATTTTTAGTCGGTTTTTCATCGCCTGTAGATCTAAAACCGACCTTTTACGAATTTGATAATAATAATATTAATAATAATAATAATATATTTATTTATTATTATTTTATTCATGTCCTCGAAGATCCTCTACAGGGCACGGCTTTTCATTCTCTGAAACTAGAATACCGCTCATTAAATGATGCATGGAGGTATTAAATTTAATATTAATCTTGTCATCTTGTCAGCATTTTAATCTTGTCGATTTATTCACATTGTGTTTAATAT